TACATAACTTTTGTCATTATCAATCCACTATCTATTAATAATTAGATCACTAGTTTTAGATCATTATAGGCCTACCTGCATTTTCAAACCTCACAAAAGAGAAAAATACAAATATGACGTGAAATTTTAAATAAAATTTGAGGAACATTATCCCATGTGCAGACAAGATTAAGTCCAGACACCAAACTAGGAAGATGGTTTATCTAGTACCGGTAATCAGAAGGTTACTGCTGTTATGATCCTGCCTGAGATATGTTAGTAGCTTTTTGATACTTCAAAATTCTGAATCTAGCTGCCCTGGTTAAAGCAATTCTGGATAAAGGACCAACAGATCTTAGTCAATAAGATATCATTACATTCATTTAACACTTCAACTAAAAATACACATTTCGGTGTGTCAGGTCCATTTAAATCTTATATAATTTGAAATGAGTCAAGCAAATGAAGACTTAACTTACCTTTCCTTCCAAGAACATTTGTGGTCACTCAGATATTTAAAGCAGTGCAGTGAAGTTGCGCTACAGCAGTAAGCAAGATGTTGCAGCAGTAACCGCCATGTGGACAGCATGAACTTTGGCTTCTCCTTCTTACTCTTCTTTTCATTATCTGTTGCCCAAGCTGGTCTCTGTGGTATCAGAATTCTTTGGTCACAAATAAGAAACCACTTTAAATACCACAGAAAAAAAAAAAAATCTTAGACCCTCTAGTAATGTTACACTAATTTGGAGAGTATTACTAGCCTAGTGGTTAGTGTCTCGGACTTGATGTGAGACTGACGGGTTCAATTCAATTCAATTCAATATTCTTTATTCATTAAAGCACAAAGTACATGAATAGTACCATTCTCTTAAATGTTTTTATATTACAACGTTCTTACATTCTATGAATACAAAATTCTTAAAATCTAACATAAGCTTATACAAATTATAAATTAACGCTCCTTCTAAAATGTTAAAGTTCATCAAGGGAATACAATACCTTGTTGATGAGAAATGTTTTAAGACCCCTCTTAAATCCCACCATGCTTTTTGCCGATTTAATTTCATTTGGAATTTTGTTGTAAAATTTGGAGCCGGTATAACTTGGTTTTTTACTGTAAAGTTCTAATCTGTGGCGGTTTAGAGAAATGTTGGTTTTGTTTCTGGTATTGTAGTGGTGGTGTTCACCAGTTGACGCCAATTGAGAAAATCTGTTTTTAACATATAGAACTGTTTCATAGATGTACAATCCATATACTGTCATTATTTTTAATGATCTAAAATGCTCTTTTGAAATTCTCGAGTCAAGGTCCAAAATAATTCTTATAGCTCGTTTTTGTAATTTTAGGATTGTTTCTAAGTTATTGATAGATGTAGCGCCATACAGAGATATTCCAAAAGAAATAACAGAATGTAGGTATGTACGAAAAGTATATTGATTTTAATGTTACTTGATCAAGAAGATTTTTTAATCAAGTTAATACAAATAGACCAGATACAGTTTTTTTTATTACTTTGTTTGCGTGAGAATTCCAAGTTAAATTTTTGTCAATTTCAATTCTTGAGAATCTAATATTTTCTAATTCTTCAATAGGTTTCTGATTAATTTCTTGTGAAGGATTAATTGAAAGTCTTGTCTGACGGGTCTCAAAATTTATGAATTTGTTTTATCTGGATTCAAAAGTAACTGATTGTTATGGAAAAAATTTGAAAGTATATCTAGATTAGCATTAGCTGTCTTTTAAATTTCCTCTTCAGAATTAGTGGTAACTGTAAGATTTACATCGTCTGCATAAAGGTAAAGTTTGCTAGATTTAGTCAGCCCTGGTAGGTTTGTAACATAGCAAATGAATATAAATCAATAGAATCAATATACAGTTTGTGAAAACTTGAAGACTCTTAAATGATTTACTAAATACTTTTTGGTGCTTTACTTTGCTTGAATAAGCTAAAAGACATTTAAGAAATTTTTTAGAGCAGTTTTAAAGTGATTAATTTTATACTTAAGTCGTTATATACTTGTGTTTTTTATCAAACGTAGCTTGAGATTTTAATTTTGGTTTCCCAAGTGAAAAGGTAGTATAACTAGAATAGTCTAACAATAATAGATAAATTGTAAATTAGTATTTCCCTGCTATATATCTCAGTGAAAACGTAAATAAGAAACTTACAATTATACTATTACTGTCTTCTTACCAAGGAACTATGCAAAAGCTTCTTGTTTGATACAATGCTGATCTGTTTCCGCTCCATGTTCAACTCACAGCTCGCATGGAATGCTGAATATTTTATAACCTTGCTGTTGTTTTTCTCTTAGTCAACAAAACGATATTCATCAGCGACAAACAGTTAAACATTTCAGGTTAATAGCAAGTAATTGGTAAAATTACAGCATTGTTTCCCCTAAGGGAAAATGATGATACTATACTTTAAAGGGAATTAAATGAATATTTAACACCCACTTCATTGTAAAAATACCCCTGTCGCAGCAAACCTGCAGACTAAGCGAATTTCCATTTGCCTGATTGGATTTACACTAAAATATATCACATTTATTCCCTATTTAAATAGAATTAGTTTAACGAGTACTTAGGTTTGCTGCAACAGGGAGGGTAAAAAAGTTTTTTTGTTGTAAAATGTTAATAGTTTAGAAAACAATTAGTGTATTTTCCAAATTCCATCAAAATATGTTCATTAAAAAGCAAACTACAACAGTTGATTTATTCCCCATAAGAATAACATGGGAATTTTAAATTTACAATTTTTTGGAATTTTCTCCGTAACCATTAGGCGCACAACAACGCTTCAATATACAAAATTATTTGTTTTTTTAAGCTCTACAAGATGGTTTGGAAAGAAATTGTGAAATTTTGTGTTTTTAGGGTCGAAAATGGGAAAAATCTATTTTTACCCCATAAAACCCCCCATAAACCCCCGTTCCCATAGTCCGATCATGCTGGTTCGCGAACTCGTTCGAATAAATGTAGGTTTACAAGTTTATACCAAATTTCATTAAAATCGGATCATTTTTGCTCGAGTTATCGTGCTAACGGACACATATATATATATATATAAATATTAATAAATAATACACCATAGTACCCTTTTTTAAATTATTTTTAATGACTGATGCATTTCGACACTAAGGTCATGGTCACAGTCTTTTACAATGTTATTAAATCTAATATGTAAACAAAGAAAATAAATACAATCACATGTTTAAATTTTAACTAAATCTATCTTGACTTGGAAAATTATATAGGTAATTAAGAATATTGTTATACCAATGGTTTTACTTATTCATTTTGTCTTAATTCTTGGATTTTATCATAAATTGGGTTTAAATTTTGTGTTTGCATTATGTTAAGGATGTTGCTTTCATTTTTTCTTGTTGCTAGATATATGTGTAATTCTTCTTTTACATTCATCCTTTCTCCTTTTTGTTCATATTCTAAAATTTTGACACTTTCTTCAATTTTTCCATAACTATGGTTATGTGATAAAATGTGTTCCGCGTACATTGATTTTTGAGTTGTCATGTTGTTGGATTTTACTGATTGAATGTGTTCTTTGAATCGGCAAGAAATTGATCGCCCTGTTTGTCCGATATAAAATTTAGAACAATCTTTGCAATTGATTTGGTATATTCCTGGTTTTTCATATTTATTGATTGGTAGCCGATTATTGTTGGACATTTGTTGTATTAATCTGAAGGAGTTATTTCTTGTTCTATAACTAATTTTGAATTTTGACTTGTCAAATGTTTTTCTTAATGGTTTATCGATCGAGGTACTGAATGGGAGACATATAAAGTCTTTTTTCTGTTTTTCTTCTTCATTCTTGAGTTTTTGTTTTTTGATTTTGTAGATTTTCTTGTTTATTAAATTAGGGTTATAGCCATTGGCTTTTGCTATGCTTTCTATGATTGATTTTTCGGTTTCATAGTCTTGTTTAGTCATTGGAATTTGGAGCATTCTGTGTATAGTTCTGAGGTGAACATTTTAAAAGAAAATATTGATTGGTCTCCATGGCTGCGATGAAAACACAGACAATGTTTGTTTACATTTGCTTTGACATTTAAATGTAAATTTTTAATAACATTGTAAAAGACTGTGACCATGACCTTAGTGTCGAAATGCATCAGTCATTAAAAATAATTTAAAAAAGGGTACTATGGTGTATTATTTATTAATATTAATTACAGTAGCCCTAAACGTGAACAATATCAAATACAATATATATAAATATATATATATATATATAAATATATATATATATATATATATATATGAATTTTAACGGATGGTGTTTTTGGTCTCTAGGGACCTCAAAACGAAAAAGTAAATTGGTCCCGGGTCCAGGTCTTACCATGAGTACTACGGTAATAGCTTATTCCCTATATGGGAAATTCGCTAAAATTGTCGTTTTGTTACCAAACTTTGGTTGCGACTGAGTTTGATCAATCAACGGGGAAATCATGTACGAGGTGGATTTTTTAAATGTATACTGGTGTACTGATGTTTTAAAATATGTCTATGATAAATAGCAAAAATATATTTTGAATTTACAGGTTTTACAGGCCCATTTAATATTGTAGGACATTATAAAATGGTGGCTTGTATGTTCCATTCCCAATTTTAACATTGCTTTCAAATAAATTTACTCAGATCAGCATAGCTCATTTAATTGAGTTTATTATTTTTATTTTTGAGACAAGTTTTTTTTTAAACAAAGCTCTAGAACAAGAATCTTGATTTAGTCTTAGTATACTTGTTTGGTTAAGTACATTGTTAAAGAGAGCAATTTGTATAAGAAGAAATTGGGTATTTGGTATTAGTTCTTTGCTGAAAAGAGAACCAGAAACAATCAACAAAGCAAGTTATTTAACATGTCTTTTGTTCATTACTTTTGTTAGAAAATATTCCCCAACACTGTATGAACCAACCATTATCAACAGAGTTCATAGTTCAATAACTTTTGGTTTTGAAATACATACAAAATTGTAGGTAAAACGAACAAACATTATACTTTTAAAACTGAAATTTTATTCCAGGAACTAAAACAAATACTGACAACCAATATTATACACTTTTTGAAAATACTGTCATTTGGTAACTAACTCTAAAATTTGATTTACAATCTAGGTAAAAATTATTTTCAAACAAGAATTGAACATTAAACTGAAAAGTATTTTCACAGGATAAATTAAGACATAACAAAATAATAATACCAAAAATCTATTAGTGAAACATTATTCAATAATTTTAAATATGTAACATATGTTACAAAACATATGTTTACTGAAGTACAAACATGAGTTTTCAGAGCAAGTTAATTCCGCATGAATACAAAACTCAAAGAATTTATAGACCCTAGTATGTAGTAGTGAAAACAAGATAAAATACACCTTATTAATGAAATATTATACAATCAAAACAGTAAAAAACGGTATTCCAGATTATGGTATTTTCATAATAAAAGACATACCGGTACATTTTTAACTTCCTGTAAAGCACAAGTTTCATTGTAAGCATCGACACTTATTTATAGTAAAAACTTAGATATTTAATTTTAAATCTCACTTATTATTGAAAAAAAAATTACCATTCTGTAACAGAATAAAAATCTATATAACTCATGAGTAGCCTAATTGTATATTTTTTATTCTTGATGAAAACAAAGTTAACTAAAAACAACAGCATCAGGCAAACCTTTTATATTTCAAGGTACATACAGCTAAAGAATGAAAAACAACTAGTAAATACTTAATAAATATTGGTTTATTAAACCTAAGTTTGATTCTTTAAATAAAATGAAAGACTCTAAGCAGATATTCCTTAAACTGGAAACATAATGTATAATAGCTAACACAAGACTAAACTCAAGTACAATCAACAATACTAATACTATATTGTCGCCAATAAAAACAAAGAAGATATTTAATAACATTTGAAAGAAAAACATCAGAAATATTTTTAGGTTATAATGTAAAGGTGAAAAAAAATTAAAATTAGACAAAAACTTTGTGTAAAGCTTTTTGATTACAAATGTTTAAGTCCTAATTTATTTATGAATGCACAAAATCGATATCTGGTAACTATAACACCTCAGTAAAATAAATAAGTTTAAGTTGAGCGTATACAGCCTACCGGGGTCTCAATATTTGATGTAATAACCTTTAATCAATATATTGATTAGCTAACGTGGTTTAGAAAAACAACTACATTATGAAGTAATAACCTTTGACTATTAATACAACAATATCTAATAGTCATAGACTTCAGTATCTAATAGTCAATGGTAAAAACTCAATTATCAATTGTTTGTAAAAATGAGTGTAAGAAATGTGAGAAGTAATTAGTTGGGCATGATCTATTTTTTTCTTCATAAAATGTTTGAAGATTGCTAAAAAAATGTATGTGGTTTGATGTATAACTATGTTCAGTCATTGTAATGTATGATAAAATAATGTAAATCTAATGACCTATTCAGAAACATGCCATAGCGACATAACAATATTTATTAAGTTTGTAAATATTTTAAACATGATGTTAGGCCGGGCTTATGCTGAGACACACGCAGCGCAACACACACAACCCAAAACATGGCAGAAAACTGTGCCACCATGTTTCCTTACAGCGTCGCGTAAGCTCAGTCGCACACGTCTATGTGTCTGGCACACACTATTGCTGCATTACCGTATAGTAAGCTTAATAACTACGGACTACGAAAAAAAAAACTCACATTTAAAACTCACATCACTCAAAATTTAAAACTATCCATTCTTACAAAAATAAAAAAATACTAAACTGTTGTAGTTGGTTAGTTTTTGTATATATTTTCATTAAATTTGATAAGATTATTTAATGACAATTAGCTGTTAGCATTTCACAAAAAAATATGTTTGACAAGATGTCACTAAAATAGGGAGAACATTAAATTCCCATATTAGACTCAGAGGAGTTGCTACTACAGTACTGTATCGTCAATCTTGGCGATTGCATAGTGTGTGTGCTGCGCCCCAAAATACGCTGGTCAAACATTCATGTGCTGCAAAACAAAAATGAAACTTGGATTGTGTGCATTGTGTCACGTGCGTCCCAGCATACGCCCAGCTTTAAAAATCTTGGCATATAAAAAAAATTTACAATGTAATTTATGAAACAGATCGAACAAGTCATATTTTATTCTCAATACTGTTCAACCAAAAGTAAAGAAAGTAGCCTATATTAGATTAACCACAAGTTAAATCCAGAACTTCAAATATACATAAACTTATAATAATAAGTTTATACTGTACATGTTTTTAGCTGAAGTTTATTAATTTACTAAATTTTTAATACTTATCTTTTTTATGGGCTGGCTTGTTTACAATTGTTCTATTAGGACACAGCATTTTGTTATATAGTTGAATGAATGTGATTTTTTTGCCTCTCTTAAGAATATATTTTTATACAACACTACATTTGAGCGACTGCTTTAGAGAGAAACTGTGTTGTATATATTGGTTTAACGGGTATTTGTTGAAACAGTATGCAATGGAATTATAAAGCACTTAAAACATAAAACAAGAAAATCTAAATTATATTGCACAAACATTCCTTTGTCAGACCATATGAAGGTAGAGTAAAATAGTTACTCAAAATACATAATAAATAACATACATAAATAACACTAGAGAAAGACAATATCCAGATTTAAGTGCTACCAACAGCACCATTGTAGCAAGGCATCTGTTATCGAATTTGTTCGCTTGGCACTACTTAGTAGGCGTTTTAACAACTATTTTCCTATTTAACTAATTTTAAAGATCTAAAATAACAGTCAAAACAAAATAAATCTAATCTAAAAAGCTGATATGAGTAATCGAAAATAGGACAATTAAAATAGTCAATTGTCTATAAAGCTAAAGTTGATTTATAGATAAATAATGAAAGACGTGGTTGCAAAGATGTCTGAGACTCACGATACAACCGGCTCCTGAAACAGAAACATATTCTAATCATATCAATTTTATAAAAAAATGTGTTTAAGCCTGATAGTTCTGATCCACAAAAGTGTATTTACTTTTTTATTTAATACATTTTCACATTGAACAACCGTGACACCCTTTTTAACAAATTAAGATAAAAATCTACTTATGTAGTAAGTTGTAAAACGTGGGTTATTAAAACGTTTTTATTAGCTCGCTTTCTTGTCTGGTACAAATTTTGCAATCAATCTTATACTAACTTCCCGTTGATATAGAGACTTGAAACTCTAAACATAGCTCACAAGTGAACGACAATGCAATATTATATAATTTAATTTTCATATTTCCCTTGGGCTACGCGCCCATGGGCTTGTTTTTATTAGCTCGCTTTCTTACAAATGTTGATATCAATTTCAAACGAAGTTGTCGTTGAGCCAGAGACTTGAAACTTGAAACATAGCTCACAAATGGATGACAATGCAATATTATATCATATAATTTTCATATTTCCCTTGGGCTACGCCCCATGGGCTTCCAAAGTTTCCACGTTTACATTTTGAAATAATGTAAATACATCAATTAATTTAAGTCAGCTGTAAAAACTTAAATTTGACAGCCCGAAGAACGGATGTTAAGAGGTACAGGTTCTGCTCTTGAGATATTCTAAAAGTATAAAACAAGCATTTCAAAGTAAAGATAAAACATCTGATTACAGATAATAAGGTTTTGGTTATGTATTAACAGGCCATATAAAATAGACTTAACATATTTAATTGTAAATTAGCATGCGCCCCACGTTTTTTGTTTTAAATCTTTCAAGTATTTATTCTCTCAACATAATTATAAATTATTTTCTACTTTTAAGTGCGTTTAAAAACGTGGCATTTTTAAAAAGTATTTTTATTTATAAATTGTTTCATGGTGTACCTGTTTTGTTTGTTGAATATTTATAAAACACGTGTGTACCGCAATGCTTGAAATACTGGCAATTACAAAAGCCAAAATGTTAACTTTAAATATTCAACAAACATCGATGAATGGGATTTATTTAAAATTGTTGAATGCAGATATGTTATGAGCTGTCATAGCTTGAAACATATTCCGTATAAAATACCATACATTAGATACCTTCTAGTAACTATGTAAGTAGATTTTTTTTTTCAATTGATTAATTTTACTTGAAAAAAGAAGATAGGCCTTATCCCTATACTCATTCCATTTCAAACCCTTACTGTGGTATTCAGAGTAAAAAGGTTTATTTATTTTTAATAAAAAAAATAAATTTAGCTTTCATTTTAAAGTAATGTTTTATGAAATTAACACTCAACTTAGTATATTATAATTTTGAGCTCCCGTCTCTTTATGTTAGTTAGTCATAATACTAGTTTTCCAACTTACTAAACAGTTGGCCTACCTGACATAATAGTTAAAAATTTCTGTATGAATACCAACTAAGTCAAAACAATTTAATACGAATACAGCATGTTTAACACATAAAATGTTTTTAAATAAACAGTAAAAAAAAATTATAAGCACATGAGAACTAACTCAAAATTGTTTAACATGAGTGTACAGTTTAAATTGGAACATAATAAATTATTTTTAAGTATGTAGTAGCCTAAATAAAGTATTTTGTATATTTACATTCAAGTGTATTCAAATTTTATATTTACATTTATTATTTTAATAAGGTTGTTTATTGAGAGAAAATGTAATCAATTAAATTGTTATAGTAGTTTAGGCAACGATTAAGTAAAGGTAGTGTTAACGACAGGAGTAGAAAACTTCTGTAGTTAACACTATTTACGCGAGTTGTGTACACTACCTTGCCTACAACGTCCAGTAATTTCCTAAAAATCACTAATCATAACTTCTAAGAGAGGTTATGTTTTCGTTTATAACCTCTCATTGCCACTGACAGTGATGCAACAAACATTGTACCAAACAAAACTAGCATCTCAGTTTCCCCACCCGCAAACTGATGAGAACCTTTTCTGCGAAAGAGTGGGGGATTGTGGAGAGCCCCTCACGTCGATTTAAGAAAATCTTTAAATTTATTTTATAATATTTTAGTTTGAAAATTAACTTTTTAACTATAAAATTAAAAATATTTAATTATAAAATTAAACTGTCATAACCTAACCTAACCAACCAAACTTGCTGATAATATAAAAAAGAGATAAAATAAAAATCGAATGAAGTTTAACTTATATTTAATTTTTAATTATAAAATTAATTTTTAATTATAAAACTAATTTTTAATTATAAAATTATTTTTTAATTATAAAATTAGTTTTTAATTATAAAATTAGTTTTTAGTTATAAAATTAATTTTTAATTATAAAATTAGTTTTTAATTATAAAATTAATTTTTAATTATAAAATAATTTTTAAAATATTTAATTACGGTATAGAATTAAGCTGTCATAACCTAACCGAACCAACCAAACTTGCTGATAATATAAAAAAGATATAAAATTAAAATCTAATGAAGGCTTACATATGATTAATTTTTAATTAGCCTATAAAATTAATTTTAACATTTGTTATTATAAAAAATAAAATTATAAATGCCTCAAATTCTAACAAAAGATGTACAGTTAAGAAGTATTCGCAATCTAAGCATAACCTTGGACAAAAAGTTAGTGTCGCCGTCGGGATTCGAACTGGGGACCTCCAGATCACGAGTCCGAGACGCTATCAACAACGCCACGAACCCCGATGGAATTACTTTGTCTCGTTACGGTAATGGTGTTCCCCAAAGAGCAGAGTGACGTCACGCCCCCCACTCCTTCTCTAAAGAGGTTCTCATCAGTCTGCGGGTGCGGAAACCGAGACGCTATACCAAACAAACACTAATTGCACCACTCAACAATTAAATTGGCCTGAACAGCTGGTTAGTTGAAGTTCAAATCATTACAATTTTACTTCTTCTCTCTCAATCTTTGAACATCTTTGGTCCGTTACCCGTGTTATGGGTAAAACTAAGCTGTCATGAACATGGTATGCAACCACAACAACACAATGCAAACAATGCTGTTATGAGAAACTTTTAAATTCTAAGAACTGAACTGAAACGGCTACATTAAAAGCAATCGTAGGTAAAGTGTTTATTTTTTTAGTGTCTAGAGTCATCAACAACAATTTCAAAATTAATTTGGACTTGAGTGGATGGATAATAGCCAAGTATTTGATTAACGATTATAAATTTCAACAAGATATTCAGAGAGAGTTTAAGATAGTAGGAATCAAACAATTAAAAGAATAAAAGTGACGATGACTTGCCACTAGGTAGTCAAGTAGTTCCTTAATCAGAAAATTCAACAGCTGATTATCACGGAGTCGCTGAGTAGCAAACAAACGACTGACATACATTCTACACTGTGACATCAGCTGATCACAAACACAACTGTTTATCTTTTGTTCTAATACCTCACTTTGCTAATCATGATGATAATCTGGTTACTTATCTTCGTGATGTGATGAGTTCAACATTCTATCTTGAACTAATAAAGGAGCTTACAGGTTTAAAAGTTTATAGATAATGGAATACAAACTAGAATCAAGGGATTATTATATTTAACAATTTGTAATTTAACTAATGATTGCTATTTTATGGTTACAAATGTTCTGTCTTTGTATTGAAATGTTACAATAGGAAACCATGTACAAAGCAAAAAAAAAAAAAAAACTATGTATAATTCTCGCTTCTACAATTAATGAGTAAAATCTTCTTTTTTTATTAAAATGTAATTTTTAAATACCTAGTTGAAATTAATGAACAAGCTTGATGATTTTTTTTGGTTGGTAAACCAGTGTAACATTCATTTTCACCACACTATGATGTTATTAGCTGTTTTACAAACGTTAATTAGAGGCTGAAAGTTACGTATTGCTGGCCATGCCAGCTGTCATCGTCATTTGGGGACCGAGCAGGTTTTTACATCCCTAGGGCCGCAAAATCAGCTGCCCGCTTGCATATTAATTACTCAAACAGTATCCATAGCATTGAAATAGAATTGTTTTATTTTCACCGTTGCCTAGCAACTGTTATTATTTTATTATATTATTATTTTTGATGATTCCTAAGTTACTTCTTCACATAACCTTAAAGTTGTGTTGACTATCAGTTTTCATTATTATTATTGTGCATCGTAGTGGTGTGGTGAAAAATAGTGTTCGTACACGGACCAAAAATGGTTTTGCAGCTTTCGATCGATTTAAGTTCTTGACTTCGTCTCGAACTTAAAAACTATCTCGAGCCGGCAAAACCTCGTTTTTGGCCCTAGGTACGAAATATACTATTCTTTTAGTTATTTTTACTTTCCCAAACTTAAATGTTCAAATGAAGGTTGATGAAAGAATAGAAAATGAGCAAAAAAAAAAAACAATAAAATTGAGCTAGGCCTATATGGGAATATGTTATGATGTTTAACATATGGGAATATGTTATGATGTTTAACATATAGGAAACAAATGATGTTGAATGAAAATGGGAAACATATGATGTTTAACATATTAGTGATGTACTGTGGCAGTATATCAATTAGCAAAGTAGAGTTACAGTAGAGCCCTTTCTTAACCGACCTTGCATTAACCGATACGGATTATCTGCCCTCGTTTGGAAAATATTACAGTTTGTTTTAACAGACCTTGTTTTGAGAGCAGTTTGGTTTAACCGCTGCTTTCTAAGAATCTCAGCATTTCCGCTCTCACGCTCGGCGATGGGAACAATACGCTAAAACATTGACTATTAACCTACAGGTTAATAGATAATGACTAAACTCTACAGGCTGTTACTAAGAATAAGTTATTTTGTATTTATCCTCAAAAATATTGCATATTGCCAGTTTGTCAAGATTGTTTTTGTGACTCAAGCCTCCAGTGAAAGGCTATTAATAAACATTCTGTCTCGTAGCAAAATGTTTGCAAAAAATGTTGTTAATTTGAAAAATAAGTTCTGTACTGAATTGCAATATATTGCAATATATTGGATAATGATTATATAATGAAAAATGAATAGCACTTCGTTTTTTTTAGTTTTTAGGGATCGCCTGTTTTAACTGACCTTTTGAGTTATCCGAACCTAGGCCCAGTCTCATTATTAGGATTGGTTAAGAGGGGTCTACTGTATTTCGAAAATTAAATTCCCGTATCAAATCACAACTGAAATAACAAGCTTCTCGTAACAACATTATCCACAGTAACTTGAATACAAGTTGTTTAAAGTAACACTTTAGTAGGTGTATTTTGTCCTAGACACTATATAAAAATAAAAAAAACAACAATACCTAAGATACAAAACAGAAGCAAAGACATAGTTTTAAAGATTGTAATAAAATAAACAGAAACACAACTTGTGAAGACAAAACATCAACAAATAACAGATCTTTAACTATTTCAACTTCAATCCCCGTTATCTTCGTAATGCTGGTGAGGTCCACGCTGTAAACCAATAAACAATACAACACCAACACCAACAGACAAAACCATAAAAAAACATATTTGTATAACTTTATCGGTCTAGAAAATTAATGTATGAATTAAAAAAAAACTGATCTATTTGAAGTGGTTTAGATGATATGAATACTTAGATGATATGGTTTGGTATAACACTGTGTTATACCAAACCATAAAAATAAATGGTTAACATTTACTAAATAATTAGTATAAATAATGTACATAGAAGGAACATCACTTGAGAACATGATTTTCTGACGGACAAAATTCTACAGTTAATCGAAGACAATCAAAGCAGTAAATACACAACATAAACCCCGCACAACCATCCAGGAGATATCTGAAACTGAATATGAGAGGACAGATGACAAAACTGCTACAACATGACTCCCAGCTGATAGAAGCATTAGTACATTAGAACTCACAGGTTGGTCATGCACCAGAGTTGCACCCTGACAGGCGACTTCCGTCAGAACTAACGGACTAGTGGCGTATCTAATCCTCCAGCGGGGCAAGTTCGGAAGACGTAGGAACTGTGAGTAGTGGAAGTCCTTGTTCTACATTGTACAGTTAGTGTTAGTAAACAAGCAATCTAGCCTAACATACTGTTTATAGGATCAGTGTATTGCTCTATATACATAATTATTTCTCGTCAAAGATCAATATAGATTTAAAAATGTAAATAGAACTAATTTAACATTGTGATATTCGCTTAGGCCTTCAATAAGTTGTTTGTTAAGGCTTATTTTGGCTAAATATTCCCCTCTCATTTAGCCTGGAGACATACATTGATTGGTTATACCTTAGTAGCCTAATTATGAGTAAACGAATGGTAAAAACTGTAAATTAGGGGTAAGTGCCGAAATGTCTGCCAGGCAAAACTGGATCTGACCCAATATCGAAGAACATTTGGCCCAATCTAAATTATTGACATGCATTTTCCCTAAACAATTTTAAATATCAGTTATATATACGAAATTAATTTTGTACATACCTCATATTTTACGTAAGAAAGAAAAACATCGTAGAGCATTGTGATGAAATTGACATAGACGACTCGGTACTTAGCAGGAAGGTAGGCAAAGTTGAGATACTGGGTAGGAGGCCACACGATCCAGTCCATCTGTAACAAAATAAAAACATTCTCAACAAAAATAAATAGAAAAAAACTAAGTACACCAAGGTTTTATGGATAAAACTCTAATTTAGACCAGCTAATTTTAAAAAAGGTCAGAAATGGTTTCAACCGGTCTACCGAGAATCAATAAGTTAGCATTCAAAACATGCCTAGGTACATTCTTCTACAATATCACTGTTTTCAATTGCTATTGTTGATTAAAAGCCGTTTTTTTAGCAAACTTCAATTAGCCTTCTTTGAAACCGTACAATAATGAACATAAGAGTAAACGACACTATTTCATGACGTGAATTTGTTTCTGATTTGGCAACTACATTGCAAAGTGTTTAGGCCTAACTTACGTGTTGGAGCACAATCAAAACATAAACATGTAGCATAGTTTAGCTGAGGTTTCATCCGATTATATTTTAAGTTACCCCTTTCGATTAAACAAAAATGCCATTTGTTTGATGTACAAAATTAATAGGCCTAGTTAAAAGATAAAAGTTAATTAATGATAAATTGGTTACATAACTAGTAAATCCGACAAACAGCTCAATTTTATTGAAGGTCGTTTTCATGTTTTGGCTTGTATCAGCCATTGTCAAAACGTCGCAGTTGGATGGTGAAATCCTTGTCATTGTTTTCTACTAAAAGTACATACACAAACACACATACACGGACAGGACGAAGACATTATGAAACGAATAACACTTTTAATAACGAGTTCAGTCTGCCTGCATCCTGACCTTGACAACGGTGTGCGTTCTGCCAGTGTATTTGACATAATAGGCCTATTAAAAGTGTTATTCGTTTTGTAATGTCTTCGTCCCGTCTGTGTAGCCTATGTGTGTTTGTGTATGTACTTTTAGTAGAAAACAATGACAAGGATACTAATTTGAAATAATAACTTCGCCAATATATCTGAATTTTTAATTTTTATTGGCGAAGTTATTATTTCAAATTAGTATTAATTCCAATATAAACAGTTCTTCTTGAAGAAAATGACAAGGATTTCACCATCCAACTGCGACGTTTTGACAATGGCCGATACAAGCCCAAACATGTAAACGACCTTCAATAACATTGAGCTGTTTGTCGGATTTAAAAGTTATGTAACCTATTTATCATATTGAATATAACAGCTCAGGAGCTAAAATGGAAATTAATTTTAAAAGTTAATTCATGAGTATCAATCACCAACCATGTAAATTGTGAGGAACTTCTGTTTCATTTCCTTGTGTGCCTCTTTAAAGTCACCGTCTTCAAGTAGTCCAAGTCCATAGAAGAAAATGCAGATCGCAGAGGGGGAAGCTACAGTTTGGTCCAGTAGTATTTTCTTCATAACTGATTTCAAAGTGCGTTTAGGTAAAATGAAGTCGATGTACTTGTAGAAAAAGTGTTGCACAGGACCCAGAGCAAATCCAACAATCGTCATGTTCACTATAACAATTATGTGTATTATTACAACAAAGAAAATTAACAAGTTGGCTAGTCTTAAAATAACTGGTAGAATAGAACTAAAATTTGGTTACAGTAATAAGTAATAAGCTAGGTACCAAAACAAGTAAAATAACTACTTACTTGTCCTTATCCAATCATAGGTCTCCTTCTTGTGGACTTTCTTGTAGAATTCAATTTGTTGTTGGACACCATCTCCAGCTGCCATCAAGAGACCACTGCTGACGGTGTTAGTCAAAAAAAGATATTTTCCTAATAACTTTTGATGTGCGAAATTGTGTAGCTGTCTAGTTACAGGAACTTTGTGCTTTTTGATAGAATGAAAATGTCTAATAACAAATATTTTCAGATTACTGCTGAGTTTCAACATGATTTTATATTTAGATAAACTAAAGGGGATAAAAGTAAATACCTAAAAAGTTTGGATTTGCAAAATAAAACCATAAGGATCGTGGACACCTGAAGTCTCATCACGTAATGAGAACTGTTAACTTTCTGTCAAACATTTATATCAAACTAAATTGCATAGCCTATCTCAAGGTTAAGAGGTTAACCACTTGATTCAACTGTATCCTATAAGCTTATCAGACCTACGTGATTAGCACATGCATACTTAATACAGGTAAATTTATAATCCTCTGTTAACTAAGCTCATAAGACAATTTTCACCTAAATTAATTAATCACTTTCAATAAAGTACACAATATTCCAACTTCATAACACAACAAACAGCCTCCAAAGTGTCCCAGTCAGTGTTCCCAGATTGGCCGTAGTCAAATATCGTACACGCGGTCCTAAATTATCGTATTTCACGAAAAATTATCGTACAATTTTAAATAACAATCGTAACTGGCTTGAGTATTGAAATACCTAATAGACTTATATATTTTTTTATTATAAATCTCAAAATCGCCATAAAACCATATTATTTTTAGTTTTGCACGTTGTAATCATAGTAGGTAACTGATATTATGTGAATATTTCTCAACCTCAACACAAACACTACACCAGTATTTTCCTTCCACCATGCACTCATGGCCACCTTTAACTACAGGCCGCGGCCTGGTAGAATTGGCATCTCCACAAGTGGTATGTTGTTCAGTGACAGACGTCCCATAAGATAACATGGCAGACAGGTGATATCAGCTCATTAATTCACACTTTATTGATTTCAATTTAAATTTTTACACATAAATTTATTAAAATATTGAAAAAAAGACATACAGAATTGAAAACCGAAACAATATGAATTAAAAATCTATTATGTACATTTTAAGCGGAGTCAATATTGTCATAGTCCAGTAACCAATATTTCGTTAATACACAAATACCATTAGCTGCTTCACTTCCAAACAAAACAGCTGTTACAACACCTCTTGTGATGTTGCCACTTTGAAGGCCGAGGCCTGGAGTTAAAGGCGGCCGTGCGTGCACCCGTGCACCTGCACCATCGATCTCTAAAATAGAGATCGATGGCGTGCACTACTACACCAATAATTCGCCAAATGGGCGAGATTATGTACGGAAGGTCTGTTCTTATGGTAACAGACTTTCTCGTGGTGCAGGAGAAGCAGAAGAAGCGAAGCAGAAGCATTCAAGCAGTTTAGAAGCACATTTCATGGAAATGGTTTCGTTTTAATTTTATTCATACTAACAGTTAACTTATAGTTTTCATAAGATTGATTTTTTATTTATTGATTTTTATATCCCATCTCTAATAAATACTGAGTTTTGATTTAAAACAGCAAAAATGTTTCCAAATTTTTGGGTATAACCTCCCAAACCAATTTTGTAAAAGAGTACTATTCAATTGCCCAAATTATCGTACAAATAGCATTATCGTACGGTGACGTATCGTACATCGTACGGGAGGCTAAATTATCGTACAAAACGATAATTATCGTACGTCTGAGAACACTGGTCCCAGTACAAAATCAAAACACCAACAACATTGAAAGTGAAACAACAAGACAAAAGGCTAGCAGACGAAGTATAAACATTTTGTTGACTACCAATACAACATCACAGCTGATGTAGAATAAAGATGAAAGGAAAGGTGAAGGATATTGGGAAAGTTTGCGAATCCTCAATGTTATATAGCTTTTAGTGTAAACAAAAGTCTTGGATGATAAATGCTTCCAAGTTCCTAAAGTAATTTAAAAATGTTAATTAGTTTGACGCATGTTAGAATGACATTAGAGAGTTATGTCTAGCCAATAAAGTCAATGTTCAGGAAAGTAAATAAAAGAAACGTCTTATAACACTTAAAACATACAGGGTTAGTAAAAAGTCTGGAGACCCCCTGTTAATTTTTTAACGGCCTTTTTTAACTAGAAAATCTAAACTCGGCACACCTTTATGGCATGCTACGAAGTACTTTTGGGGCATAACCAACACTTGGTGTACATCCCCAAAATGGAGGATTTTGGGGGAAACTCAAAAATTTCAAATGGTAAGACCCCGCATTTTGAAAGTCCTAGTAAAAGACACTCAACAACGCAAAATAGAGGTCTCTATCTCAATCCAGTAAAAAATGGCAGCCAATTGAAATTCTCAGAAGTTAAATTTAACTTACAGCTTCCCAAGTCTGAAGACCCCCTGTAAATTTTGTAGCAGCTCACACTAGGAAAACTAAACTCTACACACCTTTATAGCATGTTATGAAGTATTTTTTGAGCCTAATTGCTACTTGTTTCCCAAACCCAAAATGCGGGATTTTGGGGGCAACTCAAAAGTTTTAAATGTTAAGCCCCATCGAGTGACCCCTCCTTTTGAAGGTTGTGATAAAATAAAATTAACAACGCAAACTAGAGGTCTCTACCTTAACACAGTAGAATATGGCAGCCAACTGAATATAAAATTGCAAGTTAATTCTGATATCTAAAGATTTCAATCAGCTGCCATTTTTTACTGAATTGAGATAGAGACTTCTAGTTTGCGTTGTTAGTTTTCTTTTATCACGACCTTCAAAATAACGGGTCACTCGATGGGTCTTACCTTTTGAAAATTTTTAGTTTCCCCCAAAATCCCCCACTTTGGGGATGTACACCAAGTGGCGGTTATGCCCAAAAAGTACTTCATAACATGCCATAAAGGTGTGCCGAGTTTAGGTTTTCTAGTGGGCCGTTAAAAAATTAACAGCGGGTCTCCAGACGTTTTACTAACCCTCTGTATATTTTGGCTTACTGTTACTCACTAGACGGTAAATATACATAAAAGATGGTAAGTGGTGATCGATTTTGATTGGACATGATGATTGAAGTGTCCAATCGAAATCGATCACCACTTACCAACTTATATATATATTTACCGTCTTGTGAGTAACCACGGCCGCCTCATAAGCGTAAATATATGTTTTAAGGGTTGTTTATTTACTTTCTGTAACGTAGGTACTCTCCGAAACGGCACACGGAAGATTTCTCAGGTGCCGATTGACGTCACTAACTGCTGACGTCACTTTGAGGGAACACCAATACCGCAACGATACAGTTTTGAGCCATCGGCCTCGGTGGTGTAGTGGATAGCGATGCGGTCTGGTGACCGATTGGCCCGGGTTCGAAACCCGCCGGCGGCACTAACTTTTTATCAACACCTTTTTCATATCAGCAAGTTTGGTTGGTTTGGTTAGGTTATGACAGTTTTATTTTATAATTAAAAGATTATAAAATTGAATTTTAGACAATTATAATTTTATTTTATGAACAAAACTATTTTTTAGATTAGTAAACCTTTATTCGATTTTTCCATTATCAGCACGTTTGGTTAGGTTATAAGAGTTTAATTTAATAATAGAAAATTATAAAATTGTCTGTTTCTTCAGACGCAGCAGTTAGTGACGTCAGCAGTTAGTGACGTCAAACGGCACCTTAGAAATCTTCCGTGTGCCCCACCGAGGTACTCTCAAATCGATATTTTTGATCTAAATAGGCTATTACATGCGGTCTTATTATTTACTTTAAACAGCTAGTGCAAGTGAACGGTATTCCTATCCTGTTGTGAAATTTAAACGGTCTATTTTTAATGCTTGTTTCGTGTGGAAACGTTTGAGTGTGCCAATTTCGACCACATATAACCACATGTGTTTAATAGCAAAGATTTTATATTGATCTTATGTAAATGAGAGCTAAACAAACGATTTAGTAAGCAGTTTTTAACTAATAAAGCAGTTGGCTATTATCAACAAAACACGTGGTACATCACTGCGTTTAAACAACGCGTTCTATACTTTCTAACCTGTTGTAAAATTTGAAATAATTGATGGTTGTATCGTGTTGAAAACATACCATTACTTGATCGTCATTTTGTGTTGATCAGCATGTTGGGAACGACGTGGAGTAAATAATTCCCCAAGTAAGTAGTTAGTAGATCATAAAATGGGAGGTTTTGCACACAGTTCTAGACTTTAAAAATGGCTTTAGAACGTCACCAAAAGGCTTTAAGGAGGATAAATCACCAAACGGCTTTGAAAATTCCAAATCTTCCCGAGGACCCCCGAAGCCCACGGTTTTTTTTATCAGAGGGCCAGGCTTGCAAGTGACCATGGGATTGCATTGCAGCTAGAACAGCTTATTATTGTGCACCCTCATTTACAGGTCCTCATTCTCCCTCAAATCCCAGGTCATTATAGTAAACCGTGAGAACCTGTTGACTATGGTAACCTGTTCTTCCCTTTGATCTCCCGTCAATAGGCCAAGGGATCTTATCCGCAGACATTGTAGGGCTAGGCACATAAATATACCTTCACAGCTTTCTCAAGATCTCTGGCTGGGGCAAGCTGTAGTGAGATTTCCCTGACGGGACTCAGCTCCTGAACTTGCTTGACCAGCCAATCCTTTGTGGCTGCGTTAGCACAGCCAACTACCAAGGCTCCGCCTTCAAGATGGCAGCTGCTTATCCTGACGTCTATGCCAGGAGTGACCCACCTGGACAGCTCCTCCTTGATTTGATTGGTTTTAGCCTCCGTCCGCATCCTGTCCGGGTGTTCAGATTTGGCGATAGCCATCATCTCCACAGACAGTGTCTCCGAATAGGTGGGTTCTGGTGCTCTCTGTGAAACACCCTAGCCCTCTCCCTCTTCCGTCTTCGTATTCTTTTCTCACCCCAGACATCCTCATGTGTCAGGTACATGGTCTGGGTACTCATGGTCTCGCCCCCTGTTTCCACCTTTTTTCCTTGAGCCTTATTAGAGTCAGCTTTGGGAGTGCCACCCTCGCCCTGCATTTTCCCAGCATTCTGGTTCCCAGAGGAACTGGCTTTGTAGGGAGCAGGGTTAGGGCGCTTGGCAGCCCACACCACCAGCCTCCTCTCACTTGTGGATGGCACCTTTTTGCCTTTGGCTAAAGCATCCGCTATCCTCCGTCTTCGCAACTCGACCCTGGAAAGTCGTTTTTTCGTTCCTTTCCAGTTTCTGCGAGCTTCGTCATTGTAAAAACTCATGTAGACCTTCCTCCTCCATTCGGGTCAGATCGTCTACGTTGTTCCCACGAATACCGGGTGTCTAAGGTCAACCTTGATTGATAATTAATTGATGGGAGTAGTATAATTAATTAATATATGATTATAGTCAGTGCTAGTAATATAAACACAATCAACACAGTATACAGTATCAACAGTATACTTACAGCTGTTGTACTGGTATCTTAACTTCAACTCAACTTTGTCTTCTTCTCTTCATCTATTCTACACACTGCTGTCGCTGTCAGTCAGTTTCGTTTTCAGTTCAGTTTTCAGTTTGT